AATAAAGGATAATAGTTGGGGTACCCGAAGAGATCTTGAGGCTGACAGTGGACCTTAGATCCTTCTAAGGACCCTCCTCCTCCTCCTCCCCCCGAAGTGATTTTGTACCAAGGCTTTCTCTCCCGACTCCGTTCCAGGCCATCAGTGACCCCAGCCGCCTTCCCCACTGGGAAAAGGACGCTGGGCGTACTGGGCCCGACGTGCAGCCGTGTCTTCCCCTTCCACACCAGGGGGCGCCGTTGCCCCACAGGCTGTACTGGGCAAGTAGAAAGAAAGTGTGTGTGTGTGTGTGTGTGTGCGCGAGAGAGAGGGGGGGGAAGGGTTTTTTTTCACCTCTTCTGAAGGCTCCTGGGGTACTAAATCCGAAGCTCAGCCCCTGGGGGGGCGCAGGGGTGGATGGCCTGGAAGAGGCGGCCTGCATGGCTGTGTCCGTCCGCCTGGCGGCCAGGGACCCCTCCACGGAGGCCTTCGGCTTCTCCTGCTTCTGCTGCACAGCCAGCTCTTGGCGCAAATCTAGGGGGCCAAAGCAGCTCAAGGGGGAGGCGCCCCTGCCCGGCATGCCCCCTCTGGGCCTCGGCACCCCACGGTGTGCTGGAGGTGGCCGGGGGGGGGCTCTCCCTCCTGCCGTTACGGGGCTCGAAGTGGGTCCCTGCCAGCCCTGCTCCTCTCCCCCCTCCGACGTTCCTCCCTGCAGGCCAGGGCAACCGCAGGGCCTTCCAGCCCAGAGAGCGGCTGGGAAGCGCCAGAGTGCAGACTGGAGCGCTGCCCACCTCTCGCTTCGTCCTTCAGCCGCTGCACCGACTCCAGGAGGGTCTCCTTCTCGTCCAGCTCGCTCTCCAGGAAGGCGTTGCGCTCGATGGCCTCGTTCAGCCGCAGCTCAAAGTCCTCCAGGGACATAATGGTGGCTCTGCAAGGAGCCCAGGCGGAGCTTTAGCACCCACCCCCCGAGGAAGCCGGCCCCCAGAAGCAGCCCCCCACCTGCCCAGGGCACCTCTTGGCCCTCTCCAGGTCATCGTTGCACTGCTCCAGCTCCCGGATGTACTTCTGCAGCTGGTCCCGGGTGGCCGTCACCTGGCCCAGCTCTTCCTCCAGGGCCGAGATCTGCCGTTGCCCATCGGCATGTTGGCTGGCAATCTTCTCCTAGCCGCAAGGAATCACGCAGAGCAAGAGCCAGTGGCAGTCTGCGCCAGTGGCCTTGCCCCCCCCCCCCCCCCCCCAAATAGAGCTCTGAATGCCCACGCTGCCCAAGAGGCCGCCCCCTGGCCTCGGCTCTCTCTGCTGCCCGCCCAGCGCTGCCTGCCAGCCCAGCCCCCCGGCAGCTGCTGCAGCTTCAATGGGCCTCTGTTCCAGCCCTGATGTGGGGGTGGGGGCAAGGGGGGCAGGGAAGAATGACCCAATTGTCCACGCGGCTTTCCGTCCGAGGGCTGCCTCAAAATGGCCCTTTGGGGAGGGGTGGTGTCCCTTTTCCCTCCCCTTCATCTTTGCATTACCTGCCCCCCCTCCCCTTCTTCCCACAGCCCCCGGAAGCAGCCAATTCCCCCTGGACAAACCCTGCCAACACCCGGAGACTTGCCCACAAGGGCAAATCTCAACCCTCCGGCTGAAGCCGAGATGCCCACCTCTGCACATTTAGGTGCACCAGCGTTGGCCAGGCCACACCTGCACCACACAGCTGGACCCCCACTACCTGCAAACGTCCCAGACGGAGCTCTCCCCCTCGGCTGCCAGGGGGCCTGGCATACAGGAGTGCCCCGACCCCTCCTCACCTTGACCGTCTCCACCTCCGCCTGCAGCCGCGCGTTCTCCAAGAGAAGGTCCCGGTTTCGCGTCTCCAGCTGCTGCAGCTGCGTCTCCAGCTCGGCTTCGTACTCGCGGCTGCCCTCTCGGAACTCACGCAGCTCCTCCTGGGCGCTCTGCACACTGAGGCCGAAGCGGGCAGGAGCCGGTCAAGCCGACCGCCAGGCTGAGGCACCGGCAGGCGGCTATGCCCCACTCCACCTGCTGGCAGCCCGTGCCTGCCCAACGCCTGGCAGCGCCACCGCTCGGTGCCCGGGGAAGCCGGAGGGGCCCCTTACCACTGCTTGTATCTGCCAGACAGCTCCTTCCAGTAGTTGATCTCGTCTTCGGCAGAACCAAACGGGCTTCTTTCGGGGTCAGTCATGGTAGCAGCCACCTGGCATGGTCTTCCTGTGAATCGGGGGGGGGGGGAGAGCATTGGGCGCAGGTTGGTGCAGAGCCCACCACACACCTGACAGGAGCAGCTTTCCGGTTTAAATAAGCCACCCGGGGCAACATTCCTCCCAGCCTCGGGGCCTTACGATCATCTTATTCCTTTAAGATGCGCCTCTAGAGAAAACCAAAGGCACTTCCTAGACAGGGGGGGAGAGACACCAACAGACGGACGGACGACTTTGGGAAGAAGCACTTGGGTTTGTGGTTGGCCTGAGAGCTCATAATGCGGCTCAACTGAATCGGTCTCCCTCTGCTCCTCCATCGTAGCTGCTGCCGGTGTCTTGCTGAGCCAGAGGAAGAGGCTCAACTGCCAGGCGGACAGCAGCAGCAGCAACCAAGACACCATAAACGGGACGCTGGGGGGGGGGGGGGCACCTCTTCTGCTGGCCAGGCGCTTTTCCTTCTGTCATTTTTGTGGCATGGATTTTAAAACAGACTTAACAGATTCTCTGGGCTTATTTTTACGCTGCTTATGGATTAATTTAAAGATAAACCATTGGTATCTCTGTAGATTTTGCTCCAAACATGATTCAGAGCTAAAAGAAAATGTTTTACTTCTACCCATAAATGTTTGACTGCACCTCCCCTGCCAGAAGGCCTCTGATGGGGGGGGGGGGGTCTGAACCCGGCCAGAGAAAAAGGAAGAGCCCCTCAGGAGCTGGAGGGCCCAGGAAGACCAAGGCAACCCCCCCGGCCAGCCTGGCACTGCTCTAAACCAGGGGGGGCATCGGGCACACCCTGGTCAGCTTCCGCGGGTCCCTTTCCCAACCGCGCTGGGATGGCGGGGGTGGCCGCGGACGGTGTCGGGGGGCCCACCTGCAAGGGCTGGGGGGGGGCGGGGCGGAGCGGCCGAAACGAGCCCACCGGTCAAGCGAGGTTCGCAGGGCCCCCTTCGCTCCGAGGGCCGCAGGACCGACCTCCCGGCACGGCGTTTGCCTCTCGGGTGGGGCGGCGAAGGCGAGCTCTCCGAAGCGGGGCCAGGGAAGGCGACCCTCTCCAGCCCCCCGCAGAACGCCGGCTGGGAGAGCCTCCCCAGCCCCGTTTCCGCCCCGCCGCCACTCACCCCGCCTGCAGCCAGGAGGAGAAGCCGCCGCCGCCGCCGCCCCGCTCAACTGGCAACTCTCGGCCCGACCGAAACAACCCAAGGAGCCTCTGCGCAGCCTCCCATTGGCTGCGGGTCACGCGACCCTGCCGCGCTCCTCCAATCGGCGCGGGCGGATCGAGCGTTGAAACTTTTGTGTCTTGCCGGGCTCCCGCTCCCCTTTTTCTCAATGGGGGGGGGGGGAAGCGCGCGCGCGCGGGCGGGCGGGCAGGAGGGCGGAGCTGTCGGCAGCGGCCAGCACGGCGGAGCCTCCCTCCCCCAGACCCCGCGGGGACCCTCCCGCCGGCCCGTGACCCCCGTGCTCGGCTCCCGCGCCCAACTGTTGGCCCTGCACGGCCAGAATGAGGGGATTCGTAGTAGCCCCGTGCCGCCGGAGGGGGCCCGGGCAAAGTCTTCGTCGCTTTGCTCGGCTGATTAACGCAGCCCGCTCTATGCTGAAGCCCGCTGCAAAGCAGGTCCTGGGGAGGTGGCGCCGGTGCCAAAAGATGAGCCAAGGAAGCCGGGCTGTTGGCCAATCGTTCTCCTTTCTTTCCTGAAAAAGAAGGGAGAGGAGATTCCCTCGTTGTTGTTTGGAGCTGGGCAGGGGCTTCAGCCCAGCCTTTTTTATTCCTCTACCGGCCCCGGGCTGGCCTAGGGAGGGTAGCCTTCGCTCCCCGCACCCCCCTTTACTTGGCCTGCGGGCAGCTTCGCCCAGCTGGGGGAGGGGGAAGGCAGCCCTCAGCTTCTTTTCCAAAGTTCCAGTTCGGGTGAACAAACCCAGGTCCAGCTCCCTCCTCCTCGGCCTGGAGGAGCTGCCAGGAAAGCCAGGCGGGAATGCAGGAACTCTTCTGTGGAAGGGAAGAGGCACTTTGGCCCTGGGTGCAGGTAGCCCCAACTCCCTCCTTCATTCTCCTCATTCCAGCTGCCCACTAAGGGTGACCAAGAATGACCGGCCCTTTTATGTGGAGCCCGTGTCAATTGCCGGCATGTGGCAGGAGCAGGCTGGACTAAGCGATGGCCAGGTGATCCCGGCCAAATGGGCTCTCCTCAGGTCAACACTGAGCCCAACGTTTCCTTGGGCGTCCCCTGGCCTCCATCCTGCACCCCAGTGTGACTCTGTCGGACCAAAAGACTGGAGGTGGCTCAACAGCTTCCCTTCCTGATGTTGCCGGGCAGGCCTCTTGAGTGGGAGGGAGAGAGGCCGATTCCCCCGCCCTGAATCCCAATTAAGATGCTGAGCTAATTCATGGGTCTCTTCTTCCTTGTAAACCAGGATCATAACAACCTGGCAATTAACTGTGGCTCTTCCTGTTTGCCAGAATGCCGCCTCTCACTCCCTGCCCCTGAGGAACCACTGGCCAGGAAGGCGGGCGGGGGAGGGGGGGATCCAGGCCTCTCTCAAAATGCTGTCCTCATTCAGGAGAATTTCACTGTATGAAGGGGGAGACCTGGGGGTCATTGCTCCCCACCTGGCTTGGGGAGGGAGCTGTGGGCAAAGACCCCTTTGGGCAAGGGGTCTCTGAGTCAAAGCACAGAAGGAGGGCGTTGAGGGCATTCGCACAGGCACAACTGAGGTTGCCTTCCCAGCTTGCGAGGAGACAGGCAGAAAAGCCAGTTGTCCAATTTTAGCCTGGTGTGAGCGTTGAAGTCAAGATTAAATCCATGTTTCATCTCATTACGGTCTAATGGGTTCATATTCCTTCCTGAAATCTAAAAATGTCTTAAAACATTTAAAAGCTGATTTATTCACACCACAGCCACCCACTTGCCTTCTTTGCCCTGGGAAGGTTTTTTGTTCCAAATAGGGCTACCTTGGGTGGATTCTCTCCCTCCCTCCCTCTTTCTTTCCTTTCTTTTCTTTTTTTCCTTCTTTCTTTTTCTTTCCACCCTTGAACACAACCAGTTGACGGGCAGAAGGAGCCAGGCCACTAATGGGGACCCAGAGCTGGCTGGAGGACAAGGAGAGGCAGAGGAGAGCTGAGCTGACCTACCGTCCAGCCTGTCCTCTGGCCCTTCTTGCCAAGGGCAGACATTTCTCAGCCAGCCCCTAGGAACCAGCCTTCGGTTTCTGAGGGAGAACCGCTGGCAAAGGCTTCACCCAGGAGGGGGCAGCACCATACAGAGGTGCCTCTTTTGACGCCTGAATTTCTTTGGAAGCTGAGTAATCTTGGTACCACGGCTGCTTTGGTAATTTCTGCCTCCTGTGTATATACAGCTGCTCTTCTGCAGAAGCAGAGCCACAAATAAGCAAATGAGTGTCGCGACTTTCCCATTTCCTTCTCTGCGACAAACCCTCCCCAATCTATGTGCGCTCAAAAGGCCCACACCTCCTCAGCACACCGATGTGCTACAAATCCATTGGTGACGTCCATTTTGCTCTCTGGAACCCTAAGCCTAGGCAGGGTTGCCCCCAAGGGGGTGCCTGCTTTCTGCTACCAGGTAGCAGGGGTGAGTGCGTGAGCCATGAGTCGCCTGGAGGTTGGTGGCCAAAGGACGTCCATCTCTGCTGGACTCTCTTTTTCCCCTCCCCCTTCTGGGTCTCCGGGGGAGGGAGAGAAACCTCCTTTGCAGTGCTGAATGGCTGGAGGTATATCTATGGTGCTCAGTCATGCTCACCTAGAGCAGGGGGTCTTCAAACCTCCTCCTCCAGTCACGTTAGCTCAGGGATTCTGGGAGTTGAAGTCCACAAGCCTTAAACTTACCAAGTTTGGAGACCTTTGACCTAGAGCCGTGATGGAGAACCTATGGCACACATGCTGGAAGTGGCGCGCAGATCCGTCGCCCAGAACGGATCCGCTTGCATGCGCCCCAACTGCCAGCTGATTGTCAAGTATCTGTGTGCACATGGGGCGGGGTCGCGGGTGCATGCGCAGGGGGCAGGATGGTCACACGTGCGTTGCATTATGGGTGCGCTTTCAGCACATGATGACAGAAAGCTCAGCCGTCACTGTCCTAGAGGGTCCCATGGTCAGAAGGAGCCTGTCCCCTCCATAGCAACCATGACCTGGCGGCTTCTTGGCTTTGTGGGTGGACAGAGCCCCCCCCGCCAACCGAACAGGCCCCTCAAAGGTTTCCTCAGCTTTGGGAGTTTCCAAGGTTTTCCTTGGAAGGAGCCCCCAGCCCCTCCCTCCTCTTCGATCTTTCCCACCTGGCTGGACTGCAATGTCCACCCCCTTCAGCCCGGCTCGGCCGTGACCAGGAGCCCCCTCCTGTGTGAGAGAGATCCCCGCCTCTTCCAAGGAAAGCCTGGCGGGTCCTCCAGGCCGAGCCGTCTCCAGGGAGGAGGTGGGGCTTCCATGGGATTCTGGGACCTGCAGGGGCTGGTCCAGCTCATCTTTGTCACTTTCATCTCTGCGTGGTTTCCCTGAAATCAACCATTTCAGAAAAGAAGACAGAAACCGCAGTTTCAGTCTTTCTGGAGGATCAGAAAGCGCCTTCAGGAAACAGAAGTGACTTTGATGCTGGTAAGCGCAGCACCCTGAAAGTCTAGATTTCTTCTGAAGCGCCTCCCACAAGAAAAGCGAGTGCTCCTTTTTAAAAGAAATTAAAAAAAAAAAAAACATCTCCATGGCAGGTTGTGTTGCAACCTGGGTCCCTGCCTTGGTGCAAGTCAGACAGAGCTAGTCCACCAGTCAGACATCCAACAGGTGCTGATTTTCCCAGCCTGGAAACATGTTGCGATCCTGCCTGTTCAACCCGAGCCAGGGACCGTTCAAGGGAGGATAAATTTTCTGAAGCTCCTTTTAAAAATTGTTGTTGTTTGAAAGTTGGAGGCTCAGATCTGTGTGTCATTAGAAACACCCAGTTCAGGCAGAAATTTGTCCTTATAGAGTGTTTTGCTTGCGCAAACCAACACAGGAAGACTTGAACCAGCCACAAAACCTAGGTTAAAGCTGGCTTGAGCATCCTTGCCAATAATAATCCAGCATTTGGAGATCCTGTAAGACTCTCGTGTGAAAAGAGGAGTCAAAAGTTGCAGGCCTCAGCCCAGTTTGCCCGCGAGCTGTGGAAAGCAAGATCCCTGGCTTAAGAGTGGCAAGAAACGCAGTGGCTCTCTGGAAGTCTTGCAGATTTCAGGAAGCAGCAGCAGCTGCAGCCTCTTTCCCGGAAAACAAAAGTAACCTCGGGGTTATCTCAACCTGATCAGCTTCTCATGGGACTTCCAGAAAAAGGTCTTCTTGGAATCTGGGACAGGGAGAAGTGCAAGCCCGGCTTTTTCCTGGAAAGGCTCTTGTGGGAGAGAGGGGGGGGGGGGGGAGCAGCGGTGGTGGGATTCGAATTTCTTACTACTAGTTCTGTGGGCCTGGCAGGGAAAGGAGACTGTAAAATCTGGGATTTGCTGCCGGTTCTCTGAACTACTCAAAATCTCTGCTACCGGTTCTCCAGGACTGGTCAGAACCGACTGAATCCGCTGCCCCCGGGGGGGGGGGGGGACCAAAGGGGCAAAGGTGGCACCCCCCGAGGGGCAGAAGGGGGGGGGCCGCCCGGGCCCCCGTTGTGGGAGCACGGGGGGGGGGGGGGCAGGAAGGACTCCTGCCGTGATCTCCTGCTTTATTTCACTGCTCTGCTGGGCCCCTCCCAGAGAAAGTGAAGAGAGGAAGGAGGGCTATTCTCTGTAAATACCACTTGGAGACCCCCCAGCCCACCCCCTTCTTAATGAGAAGGTTTCTTGCCATTGCCAAAACCACCCTCTGCTGGAAATGAGGGACAGCCAGGAAGCCCCCTGGTCCAGACCCCTGGGAGATGGTGGGAGGGGGCTGCTCATCAGCTGCCGGCCCCCTGGACGCGTCCTCTGCAGGATAACCTTCAATGGGGGGGGGGGGGACTTATTCTCCGAGAAGTTTGTACTGATTTATTCGTCAAATGTGTGGTCTCCCAGAAGCGACGCCGGGCGGTGGGACAATGCTCTGGAACAGCCGGGCATTCCGAAGAATTCCGCGTGAAGCAGGAAGTGGCCTTTCCAGGCTGGAGGGTTGGTTGCCAGCAGTCCCGGGTGCAACGTCTCACTTCTGGGTTCTTGGGGACCGTCGCTCCTTCACCTGGTCCAGCCAATGCGGCCCCGGATCGCCTCCCCACCCGTCCCGACCTCCGAGCCCGGGACATCTTGTTCCACTCCGGCTGCCAAGTCAGCGGTGAAAGGGAAAGGGAAAGTCGCCGATTGCCGGACACGAGTTTTCTGAGAAGTGAGCCGAGAGAGGAGAATCCAGCTCCGCTTAGAATAAACAGAGCGCCTCTCTGGAAAGGCTCCGCGGCTGCAAAGGCTGGGGGGGTGGGTGGGAAGCGGTAGACGCTTCAGGCCACTTTGGGCCCACCGATGGAGACACATTGCCCCCTTCCTGTCCAGTTTCCTCCACCGACCGCCAGCACCTGGAGGCTCCCTCCAGGCGGGGGGCTGCCCCCTCCCCTCCGCCTGTTCCCAGAGTGGGGCGAGGGAAGGCCAAGGGGGACGGTCGCAGAATACAAGCGTGTCCCGCGCTGCGTTGCCCTCTGTTGCCAGCTGCAATGGGCCAGAAATGGGCCAACGCTTCCCAGGCCAAGATGGCCCCGGGGAGGGGTGGGGGGCGTCGCTGTTCTGGTCCCGGGTCACACCCGGAGCCTCCTCCGGGCACGAGGACTGAGGGGTCCCGGAAGGGCTGCTGGGGGGGGTGGCTGTGGCGCCTTAACTGCGGGGACGCCAGTGCAGGCAGAGGGGGGGGGCGGGCGAGGGGGTCCCGCGAGGAGCCCCCTCCCCGTCCCTTCGCCGCGCTCCGGCCAAGCAGCGCAGAGTCGCCCTTTCCCTTTCCTTTTCCCGGAGTCGCAGCGGCTCCAGAGGGGCCCCGGCGGCCCCCCTCCCCCCCCGCCCCGCGGCAGAAGGGAAAGCGAAAGTGCTGGGCGGCGGGGGGGGCGGGGCCTGCCAGGCCTTCAAAAGCCCCCGGCGAGGGCCGGCCGAGGAGACGGGCGTTGCGCGCCGCGCCGACAGGAGCTCCGGCGGCAGCCCCAGAGAAGCACCAGCGGCCGGTCCCGGCGCGGACGATGCGGCTGCGGCGGCCGCGGCGCCCCGAACAAGCAGCGCGCGCAGTCAGAGGGGCCCAGCCTTGGCGAGCCGCGGCGGCGGGGAGTCCCTTTCGCCGGAGAGCTGCGGCGGCGGCGGCGGCGAAGAGAAGGCGGCGGCGGCGGCGGCGGCCGAGGCCCGGCCTTGAGCGGCCCCGCCGCGTCCCCCATCCGGCCTCGCAGCTCCGGGCGGGGGAGGCAGCCTGCCGACGCCCAGGCGCCTCCGGTAAGAGCCTCTGCGGGGTCGCCGAGCCTTTCCGGGACGCAGCGCGGCCGGGTGAGGACTCCCGTCGCGGCCCGCAGGAATCGAGCAGCGCAGCCCCTTCGCTCCGGGGATGGGCGGACTCCCCCGGCGGAGTCGAGCGACTGGGAGGGGCGGCTTTGCTTCGCGCCCCCCTCCCCCCCGGTCTCCTCCCCCGCTGGCAAGGCCAGACAAGGGCGCTTCGTCTCCGTCGGCCTTTCCCGCCCCCCCCCTCCCTCCCCCGTGCCGGGCAGATGTGGCGGGTGTCGAGTTTCCCCGTCCAGCGTCCCCCGAAGGGCTGGCTTGCCGGGGCAGAGCCGCTTGTCCGGCCGAGCCGCTGGGGGGTCTGCCTTGCCCTGTGCGGCCTTCCTTGGCCGGAGCATCCACCCGGGGCGGGCCGTTCAAGGGCGGCCCCGTAAAAGCCCCTCCGGGCGCCTTGGTTGGTCCTGGCCCCGAAGTGGCTCCGCTCAAAGGCGACGCCTGCCTGCGGGCCAAGGGGGCCGCGGTGCGCTGCTGTGACCGCCGCACTAGAGGGGCTTCGAGGGCTGCCCTGGTCTTGAGAGAGGCCCGAGCGCGGGAAGCCCGAGAGGCTCAGGGCCCCGGGCAGAAGCCCAGCCTCCCTCGGCCCAGACGGGCTCGGCTCCCCGCTTCTCGGGCCCTCTCAGGAGAGTCGCTGCAGGAGGAGGCAGCTCCAGGGCTGGGGAAAGGTACACTTTGCTGCCCTCCCCCGCCCGCCTCCCCAGTGACTCGCCCCCCCCCCCTTAGGGCTGCCCCGGGGGGGCCCCCCCCTCCCCCCCCCCCCCCCCAAGCTGGGAGCCCCTTTTGCAATGCCAGCTGAGTAACGTTTTCAGGGTTCACCTCTTTATGGAGGCGGATCTGAGAGCTTGCTTGAAGACCCCGGGGGAGGGGAGGGGAGGGGAGGGGGGAGGGGCTGCAGAGCAGGGGAGGCTCAGATTACTCGGGAATTTGGCAAGCGGACAAGGCACAAAGATGGCCTCATTCTGAGGAGAAGAGCGCATTGGGGTGCACCTGGGAGGATTTAGGCCTGAACCAATTCTTGTGCTCTTTTAGGGTGGGCTTCCAGAGGGGGGGGGGGCTATTGCTGTGCCAGGAAGGCCTCTTTGCGCCATGCATCCCTTAGAGAGCTTAGATTCTGGCGGATGAGGCTTCCCTCCTTCTGGTAACCATTCAAACTAAAACCAGAAAGGGGGGGGGGAGGCCCAGAACCTCTGGCTGTGGAGGCTGGTCTTCCACTCTGCCTCTGTTCCTGGAGAGAAAAGCTGGGCGGAGGAGGGTTGGCGGTTGGAGCATCGGATGGAAAAGGCGTGAAGCTGAGCTGGCGGTTCCTGTGGCTCAGAGGGGGAAACCACGGCTGGGCAGAGGGGCGGCTTTGTCTGGGGCGCCCGGTTTCCCCACAAAAGCAGCAGCCGTGAGTTGGGTTGGCCCGGCAGAGGTTCGGCTCTGGTTCTCTTTGCGGTCCCAGCGGGGCTGCTTCCACCTGCCGTGGATGGATCCTGAGTGACCTCTGTTCTTTCTCTCTCTCTCTCTGATTCGCAGGCGAGCCCCAGCACAGCGGGAGCCCCCTGCCTCCCCCCGCGATGGGCAGCAGCTCCAGTGGGCCTCGCTTGTAGGATGGTAGCACACAGCAGCGTAACGCCTGAGAATGGGATTGCAGCGGAGCTGAGTGGCCGGCTTCAGCCCTCCCTCCGGGCTGCCCTGCAGGTCCGGCCACCCCACGGCACAGTGCAAGCCCCACAGGACACCCACTTCCACACCTTCCGCTCACAGGAGGACTTTGGCATCATCGCCCGCACCAGCGCCTTGCTGGAGGAGTGCGGCTTCTACTGGGGCCCGCTGTCAGTCAGCGCTGCTCACGACAAACTGAAGGGCGAGCTGGTAGGGACCTTCCTTCTCCGCGACAGCCGGCAAAAGAATTGCTTCTTCACCGTTAGCGTTAAGACGGCCACGGGGCCCACCAGCGTCCGGGTCCTCTTCCAGGCCGGTCACTTCAGCCTGGAGGGCAGCAAAGAGGCCTTTGACTGCCTCTTCAAACTGCTGGAACATTACGTCCAGTCGCCCCGGAAGGTCCTGGTCGCCCCACTACACAAGGAGCGCCTGCGGTCGCTGCAGGACCTCTGCCGCAAAGAGATTGTGGTGACTTTCGGGAGGGAGAATTTGCCCCGCATCCCACTCAACCCAGTCCTGAAGGCTTACCTGGAGTCCTTCCCCTTTAAATTGTGAGGGGGGAGCATTACGCAGTGGATGCGCTGGAGAGCAGGACCAACAGGAGGGCGGCGCTGGAAGGGGCGCCTTGCGGGTGTGCAGTCCGGGGAGTCTCTGCCGTGGGAAATCGCAGGTGGCGTGGAGGCTCCCTGTGGCGCTGGGCATCGCGTCCCTGTGGGAAGACGTGGCGCAGGATCCCCGTGGCTGGATTGTTACACAAGCCATCATGAGCGCATCTCGATTCTGTAGCAGTTCCACTGAATGCGAACACTTGACTACCAATGTTTACACACTCGATGAACTGTTTGCACAAACTGAGGCCCTCAGGAGCCTTGCCAGTCATTTTCTGCCATGCAGAAACGTTTTTTTTACTTTATATCTATTTTTTCTAAAAGTTAATGATAAACCTTATTATAAAGGTTCTTTTTCTAAGGAAAGAAAAACGCCGCTTTCTCTGGCCTTTGTGTCCTGGGTGATGGGTGAGAGAAAAGCAGAGAGGACGGGTGGATCCCCCCTCAGCTCTCCCCCACCCGCCCGGGCTTCACGCTGGATCCCGCTCTGACCCAAAGGGGTCTCTGCCCATCCCTCCGAGTGCAGGGAGCAGCCCCTCCCTGAAGGCTCACTTGGGCCCCGCCAGTGGTGGCCCCTCCTGCAGTGGAGCCTGGGCTGCTCAAGGGCTTCTGGGCACCTTCCAGGCACTTCTCCTGAGCGCCCCCCCTCCTGATGGGTCGGTGCCAGTCCATCTCCCAGCCTGGGGGAGCCTGTCTGTGCACCTGGGCAGTGGAGCTGTGGGTGGGGAAAGAGCCCCCTTGTCCCCTGGGCTGCAAGGCCTGGGAAGTCAGCCTGGGGGCCTGGCAGAGATCCCGACTCGCTTTGGGGGGCGTGGAAGGGCTGTAAAAGCCCAGAGGGAGCCAGGCTGCAGCGTTTCTGCAGGAGGGGGGGGGGGGAGACCCACACAGTTTTCTCTGTCCCGCCCAGTGGTGCCAGCAGGGCAACGCTGGGGTTTCTCTCTGCTCCTTTTCCTGAGGTGTCGGAAATCACCTGGTGGGGGGTGTGCTCTGGGTCTCAGCCAAAGCAGAAACACAAAGGCTACAAAACTGCTTTTCTGCCCCCTTAACCCAGAGGTGGCCTTCAGCAGGTTCTGACCAGTTCTGGAGACCCGGTAGCGGAAATTCTGAGTAGTTGAGAACTGGCAAATCCCACCGCTGACCGGAGAGTTCACAGTCTCCGTCCCCTGCCACGCCCACAGAACCGGGAGCAAAAAAATGTGAATCCCACCACTGCCTTCACCCCATCGTGGGCCTTTCCTCCCAAGTAGTGGGGTAACCCGTGTGCCTGTTTCCAAGTTCCCATACTTGGATCTTGGGGGCCTCTGGGAAGCCGAAAGCAGGCTGCTCTGCGTCCCCTGGCCTGGAGGGTGGGGCTCGGCCGGAAGAATCGGCAGCCTGCCTTTGTCCCTAGACCGATGGCCCCCTTCAGCATCCTCGGGGGGTGGGGGGTGGGATTTTCTTCCTCTCCACCCCACCACTGGGGATCCAGCAGGGGCTTCAGTTTGGTGGCTTCTCCATCCATCACGCTCAGCTCTGCTTACTGACGGGCAGTCCTGAGTTTATTTTTATTTTTTTCAAATTTTCTTCCAGTTGGAGAGAATAAAAAGCAAGAGCCCCAAATGAGGCTGAAGTAAAATAAACCCTCCGCCCCGCGCGAGGGCCCACAGGTGTCCCCCTGCCCCGTGGCAGCCCTGGGGGCAATGGGCTCAGGTGAGACAAGGAGCAGGGCGGGCGGGCGTGGGACAGCCCAGAACTGGACGGGGGAGAAGATCCGGAGCCCAGGCAGAAGTTCAGCTCTTTCGGCTCACCTTCTCCAGCGCCTAGTTGGTTTCAGTGCTCCGCTAAATCTTGGCCGGTGCCCAGCGCATTCATTCAGCTCCACTTCCTTCCTTGCTATTATTTCCAAGAAATTTTTTTCAGCGGGTGGTGGTGGTGGTGGTGGAATAATTGTGCACAACAAAATACATAAAATACGTTTAACTAGCAAAACTGTGCTTGACAAGCAGAGCAAACGTCTAAGAACTTTTTCCCCAGAAAAAGTCCACTTGGCTCCACAGAAAGGCTGAGTCAAGTCTAATAATAGAGCAGCCATAAGGAGATAACTTATATGGAACTGTGAAAAAATGGGAGTGTCTGTACTTTCCCCCTATTCTGAGCAACGCATGCCGTTTCCAAGGAACCCCGTGCATTTCCTTGACTTGCACCAGATTTCTTTCTTTCTTTCTTTCTGCTTGCTTCTCATTCTGTTCTCTTTAATTTCTCAGGAACAACAGGTCAGCTTCCCCAGAATCAACAGGGGTTTTTCAGTGTACAACGGAGGCTGTCTTTGGTTCCCTCTCTGTCAAGCAACAAAGGGAATTCAACCCCAATGTTTTTAAAGAAGAGAAATGGGGGGGGGGGGAATAAAGAGACGGAAATCCCAGCTGTGCGTTGGGGCATCATGCAGAGCTGGGCACCAGTTTATTTGAGAGGGCAAAGCTTTCTCCGTCTCCTTCTGAAGGCTTGGGCTTCCCGGAGTCCCCGACGTGGCTTTCTCCAAATCTGCCTTCAGGTGGCAGATTGTTGGAAGCAAGTCCTCTCTCCATCCTTGCTCAGCTGGATTCCCCTCCCCCCCCCGCTTAGATTCCTCTCAGTTGAGGAAGTTTGAATCCTGGCTCAGCCCAGACATCACCAGAAGGTCCTGGCCAAGCCCGTCTGCAGCCACCCAGGGTTGACGTGAGGTGATCGAAGGAGGAAGGAAGGAAGGAACGTGCTGTTCCCTCGCCTGGCCTTGCAGAAAACGAAAGCAAAGACACAGCAGGCAAGTCAGCTGTGATCTGGGACTCGCCTGCGCTGAGCTGTCCTTAGCCAAGGCTGCCCAAAGCAGCGTCCTGCGGGGGGTGAGCCCACCGAGAGATGCCCACGCACCTTTCCCCGCTCTGTGTCCACCCCACCCCCCACAGGAGACTGCGAGCCTCCTTTGGGCTGGGAGCAGGCCCCACCTGCCCCCACTGGCCACTTCCAGCCAGTCATGCTTGAGGTTCTCCTCCCCGCCAGAAGACCCCAAATGGGGCTCCTTTCCTGAATTTGCCACTCAACAGGGGTGCGGGGGGGGGGGGGGGGCAGGCAGGGAAGGTACCCGGAGGTCTCTGGAAGACAGTGGCAGGGATGCTGTCATAGCCCGGGTGCCAGGCAAACCTTTCCCCGACTGCTCTCGCCTTGGAACTGAGGAGGCAGCCGATGGCTCCTGGCTCTTCCCAGGAATTTAGCCTGGGGGGGGGGGGGGGCTCGTCCTGGGCAGGAAGGAGAGCCGCCTTCGAAGGAGTCCAGGTGGGGCTTTGCCAGGGGGCTGGATTGGTCTGCCACCATTTATCCCGATGGGTCTCAGAGCAGATTTTAAAGGGCTGAATCAAGTGGAAGCCTCGTCAATCAGCCGGAAGCCAATCCCGATTTAACCAGGAGTTTGATTCTTCCCAACCCAAAGGAATGCTGGGAAGAAAGAGGCCAGGAGGGTTTTTTTGCTTTCTAGTGCCGGCCAAAACACAAACTGCAAGAGGGTGCAATTTACCAGTCCTCGGGAGGACCAAAATTTTTTCCCAGGGCCAAATGGTGTTTTCCTGCCACTGCAGCTGCCCTCCTGGAAGGAAGCAGGCAGCAGCGTCCCAGTTGCATTCTCCAGAGGGTCTTCGGTCCCCCCGGATGTTTATAAATGGCTTCGGTCTTTCAAGGGGCGGGGGGCAGGAACAAGGCAAAACATCCTGCTGAACTAAGATGCCATCAGCGCCCCTTTTGGCTCTTCCCTTCCCGCTGCCAACCCCAGGGCCAGGCCCGGGAGGCAGAGCTTCCTGGGGCCCTGGGAGGCCCTGGGGGGACTGCATTGCCACCCACTGTTGGCATACCACCTCTGATGGTGCCCCTCAGCCAAACGGAGACTCCTCTGCCAACACCTGCCCTCCTGGTAAGGCGAGGCCTGTGCTGGCAGTGCCTGGGAGGGGCCTGCTCGTGTTACCTGGCTCACAGCTGGAGCAGCTTCCTCTCCTCAACTTACTTGGTAGACAATAACAAGAGAGGCTGGAGCGTATTCTGATCCTGGTGATTAAAAGAAGCCACTTCCTTCCTGGCAACCACCCAGAATAGCTGTGCTCCCTCCCTCCAAAGGCAGCCTATTAGCACAACTGCAAGGGAGCGGGCCTCCCACCAGGACGGCTCACCTTTGCAGCCATGGCAGTCAAATTTAAAGAGATTTTAGCAGCAGGCGAAGAGAGCTCAGAGGAAGAGAGCCCGGGGCTCCATGGCTGCGGGGCAACCCCAGGGATGTGTATGTTGCAGTTGTGCTTGCGTGTCTGCCTGTGTGTGTTGGTGTGCATGCATATCCCACCACGGCTGAACCACACCATCCTGGAAATGCACACGCACTTCAGGTCGACAGATACTGGGAAAAGGTGGGGGCCTTCCGGGGTTGTCTTTCCCCCGCCTAGCCCAGAGAGGCAAGTTTAGCACTGCCTGGATTCCATGTAAAATTGGGTTAAAGGATCCGAGCACTCGGAGGGGCTGCCAAGGGCTCCCCGGAAGGGCTTCACAACCAGCCAAACCTCCTCTGCCTCCTCTGAAGCAGTGGTGGAAACCGCGCTGCAGGGCCAGCAAGCCGGGAAGCCCCCTCTGGCTCCGGGGAGGCTTCTGTGCACCTCTCCAAGGCTGCTCTTTTGGGGGTGGGGGGCATTCAACAGGTACAGCTGTCTGTCTGGCAGGCCCAGCAGCAGGGGAGGAAGTGTGGGGGGGGGAAATTTACATCCGGCAGCTGCCCCACCTCTGCCTTAAGGGGGGAGGTCTCCGCTGCTGCTTCCCTTCTCTTGCTTGAAGGCCGAGTTTCCTCTGCTTGCTGAAACCTCCGAGGTTAGTAATCTTGTTATGACGGAGGCCATTTACAAGAAGTCGGGCTCCGGTTCCGGTGAGCAAAGGCGCTTCTGTTCTTCAACAGCAGATTAAGAAAAGGGGAAGAGAGGACATCCTGCCAGCCGGAGCAGCCGGGCCGTGTCTCCCCATCAGGAGGGCTGATCAGCAATGGCACCAACGCCCCCCCCCACCTGGGTCTCAGCCCCTGCCAGAGACTGGAAAGCGGGGAGGGCGGCAGACCCTCCCTGGCTCACCTTCAGGCAGCGAGGGGGGGGATCCCTAAAATCCCTCCTACCACGAGGGGGGGATCCCTGTTCAACCGAGGGGCTCAGAAGGGGCGTGGGTGGAGCAGCTGCTGGCCCCCTTCCCGCTCTGCAGAACCGCAGCTGAGCCAAGGCACAGCCTGCAGGTGCTGGGGGTGCGGGGTGGGGGGGAGGAAGCACCCTGCCTCTAGGGGAGAGGGCCACG